AAATCAGTAGTGAGCCTTTAGAGTGGACCAATTTATTTGATGTGTTTCCCTTAAAGCTTTTATGACACCATAAACATTTCTGACTCCATGACAAATGCTTTATAATGTATTAAGCAGCCTCATTTAAACTGTTCTAAATGTTATGCCAACGGCAATGTAACTGGAAACAGAATAGTCACTTGAAAATGGAAAAACCTCAAGGTATAGTTTGTATCACCGCAATTTATGATTTCCTTTCAGGCACTTCAAATAAAGTTCAATGGCACAAACACCCAAAAAGCACAGAGTAGGCGTATTCTTCAGAAGATCATGCTGTACCTATTTCATATAAGAGCATCAATACCACTGAAGTATGCTCCCCAGTAAACTTCCCATTCAATCAAATATATAGGTGAACACTTCATGCTAATAATAATTTAATTGCATTTATAAAATGCTTCTAATCACTGCAGTTTATCTTCATTGGCTTCAGGAACAAATTGTGAACTCTCATCACAGTAAAAAAAAAAAAAGCATTACACCACAAGAAGCTCTGCAGGTCACCAAACCCAAGATGCATGCACTCCCTGTGAAGAAAAGCAGCACAGTCTGACCGATATTTAATAATGAAAACTTACAGAATGCTTTCTGTAGTGAAGGCATAGGAAGATTTCAACCCATGAGGCAATAAAAATACAAATATTGCGACAGGATTCATTACTCACAAAATTATTAGCTGTTCAGGCATGCTTTTGATGACAGAGTTCAAATCCTAGAACATAAAACTGGCTCTGATGATTTTATGAATCCAGTAAAAATTATTGCTGCATGGCTGTAAAAATTGGGGTAAACAGAAGCTTGAAAGGAGGTGATTTGTATATATTTCCTTTTTATGTTTTAGCATAGATTGCAAACAGAAGACAAAAACTTTGAGAAATCAAAAACTAGACCATTTAATTGTGGGGGAGCGGGTGGGGAAGTAATTGCTGGGGTTTTTCTTAATTGCTATTTTTTTGTCACACCATCTTGCCAACCATTTAAATTTTCCTTTGACTTGAAGACATCCAGTTTTGGAAAAAGGCAATTTTATCAGTTGGAAGTTGTTACTAAGCTTCTAGAATTTTAACACATGTGCTGTATAAACAGCTCATAAATAAATTTTAGTATTGTTCAAGACTAAATTATGAATAGACAGAAAGCATTAAATTGCAAAAACACTTCCATAGGACTTTGCTTTCTCATGGTATTACTCTTTGTAATCTGTGATTCTTGGCCTTAAAAGATCGAGATCAGACATCTGACCTGATCCCCAAGTGTCCCAATCTCCCTGTAAAAATTTTCTTTCACTTATAAAAATGCACTTCTCCCCTTACATACTTCAGCAGATGCTATGTGAACGTCTGCCCTAAAAACAGCCTTACATGGTTACTGCCTCCATACATTGCCAATAACTAGAAAGTACTCTAAACCTCCTGCTTCATAAAGTCATTGGATACCCAAATCATAGATTTCAAATTCCCAGCTGTCACTGCCTAACTATTCCTTCTGCATTTCAGCTTAGTCATGATATATGACATTATCGCTCTCTTGCACTTCACATCTTCCTTCAGCACAAGCCAAAAAACCTATTTAGTATTTTTGTGACCACGTTTACCACAGCTGCAATTAGTTTGTGTAAACAGTCATCATTAACTACTCCTGTAAAAAAGCAATTTTGTTTACTTCTTGTTTATGTACTTCTCTCTGTATTTAATCTGCTTTTTTCTCTCAGTAACAGGGAATTTATGTGCAACAGTCAGGAAAAAAAGGACCAAAAAAAAAAGAAAAAAGTATCATTTTCATATAACAGCTCATTACCTATTTAGGACTCTAGAATGATCAGAGTTTAAAGATCCACCATGTGACTAAAAAATTGTGCATTTGAATGAAAGGAGACCTTTTCCACAACAACTTTTTCCAAGGAACCAAAAAAAAGTGGATTACCCGAAAGCCTGGAAACTACAACAATGAAAAAGAAGTAGTAAATACCAGCAACATTACTACCAGGTGGAAGAGGGCAGCAGTGGCACGACATTATGGAATTGTTTGCTTGGGGTATTTTCCCAAAAGGTAACAGAGGGCTCCAGTGCTCCTTCCCTGGAATCAATCCAATTCGTAACTTTGGACTGTCTATGTCACACATTAAGCATTATTACAGATTATTTATGTGCTCTCATAAACTAAGAAAAGCTAAGGAAATTCTATTTACCCAATCATACAGCTTGCCTACGGTAAAACCAACATATGAGAACACATGAAGCCTAAAACTAGAGTCGCTTCAAACATCTAAGCAGCTGTAAAGTCCTACAACTAAGCAGTCTGGACCTTCAGTGACAAATGAGGAATTGGCAAGAATCCATTGTAGATGTTATTTACCAAAAAATTAGTTTTAATTAAAACTGAAAGTACTGTAGCTTTATGGCGTATTGTCTTTTTTATTTCTCTGATAAACTGTGTGTCTGTGAACACCAGCATACTCATGCAAGCCACAGTGGCTGCTCTTCCAATTTGGCTTCAAGCCTCCTTCTTAAGAAAGACCCCAAGAAAAATATATTCTGTCCGCAAACAGTAAGCAGTACGTCTACATGAGTTCATAGGCAGGTTTAATTTATTAAAATAAAACCAAACAAACCAGAGATGAGTCATTATTTGCACTTGTTCTGAAGCTACTTCCTTGTTAGAAGGACTTACCATTAAATTACATGTAAAAATAAAATAAACTTTGATAGTTACAAAAAAGTATGTAAACTTATTTACATCGACAAGTCACCATTTCATGTATCAAGTGGAAAAATTAGAAAACAAACACCAGCAATTATTCAGGGAAACTTAAAATCCAGGGGTGACCCAGTTACAAGCCCGGAGACCAGAATAGGTCTCACTTGATGACTGTCAAAAACTAGATGTATGACCTCAGATGGTTTGCATAATTTATCTGCAATTCAATTTACCCAGCTTTAATTAGGGAAAATCTAACTTACCTGGATTGCAGTTTGTCATCAAGATAGAATGCATCCTAGAAATGCATGTTACCACACAGACATTCATACAGAATATTTTAAATCTTCAAAACCAAGTGCTCTCCATTGGAATGTACAGAGTCTTTGCCACATATTACTTGTTTGATGAATGTTTCAATCTTCTAGAAGAAAAAGGAACCCATTTGCTTGACTTACTGCCTGCTAAGAACATTAATACAGAACTTCAAATCTAATAAATGAATAAGCAGGGGACAAATGGATTTTGCAAGTTTATTGCATGGTAGTTACATTACTTCTCAACTGGCCAATCTGTAACGATATTTTTGAAAAGATTATTTAAAGGAAATACTGTTCACGTTAAGTAATCTCATGTAGCTTACACACATGTAGCTTTAAAACTTATCAAGGAAATTAAGCTGGGAGCAGTCACTGGATCAAGCCGCTCATTTGTGAGTAGTCCCTATAAACAAGGATTTGCCAGTCCGCCAAAATAATTTTCCTACTCTGAAATTACTGCCAACAAAATTGGTAATACCATTCAATGCAAGTTACAGATCTTGTATGTTATAAGCAGAGAGGTGTTATCATCAGCTAGTGTAATTCTACACTGTTCTTAAGGCAAATGAAACTACATCAACTTAGAGATGCTGAAAATTTGTCCTGGAATCTGTCTTTAGCACAGATTTAACCATGGAGCCAATTTTAAAGCTCCCACTGACTGCAGCAAGACCAATACCTACAGGATGCAAGACAGACTGCAAGTAAGCCATCCTAGAATTAGTACACTTTTCCTCCCCCCTATTCATTCCAAGTTTAAAGTTAGTTGTTCAAAACCATAACCTGTGAGGAAGTCAAGAGCACAGCAGATTTTAAAACTTTTTAGGTTTCTTTTATGTACTCCCTCCCTGAAATTCTGTTTCATAACAATGATTTTTCAGGCCAAGTCTAGTTACTGTAATCATGCAAATAACCCCAGTAAAGCCCACAGGAAAAGCAGCACCATCAGGAAAACATGATTTGGCCCACATTTTTACTCCAACAGAATGAAGTTTCAAAGTTACTTTTGCACTGTTTTCTCCCTCTCTGAGAACTATAATTGCACTTGTGTTAAAAATCTCTTTGCATTTTCTCTATGACCATTATGTAATTTTTCCTTCATGGGTACGATGTGGTGCAATCCTTACGTGCACACTTAGCCCAGGGGCAGTCAAAATGACTAGCACATAGCAGTAAGAAATAATAGCTTCAAAAAGGATTTTGCAGGAGGGGTACTCAGCTGTTTCTTAGACCACCATCCTGTAAAACTGCAGACAACAGAGAGAAAACACAGTTGTTTTACAGAAGACATTTTTAATCAAGGCGATTTTCTCTACGTGATTCCAAGCGTGTTGATTCTTTCAAATAGCTAATAAACACATTTCTGACTATAAGCACACTGAACTTAACAGGGCAGTTTTCAAAAGTATCTCCATCTATCTCGCCAAGTGGTATACACTGCAGTTGTCTATGGGTATTTTCCTTTACACTCACAAGAGATTTACAGCCAGTTGCATTCTGTGAGCATTGCATACAACAATGATTTTTAATATCAACTGAACTTACTTTTAAGTGCAAGGAATAAAAACTCAAAACTCCCGCTTCAAGAAGCTACCAATAAGCATGTAAATAGAGCTAATCATTAAGATTGGTAATCACAAGAAAAAAAATAAATATTTAAAATGCTCCTTAGCGCTACTCCACTGTAAGATACTTCACTATTAATTTTTTTTTAATGGCATATTCTTCAACTTAAGCATGCCCACATAGAATAAGATTTACCAATAGCACAAAATAATCTATCTAGTTTGCTCCATGCAACTTTTAAAAAGAACTTAAAAAAAAAAGCCTCCTAGACACCACAAAACTCTTCAGCTTAAAATGAGCTAATCAATCACCTTTCTGCACAGCTGCATTTTCTTTCATTAAATGTAATATAAGTATTTCAGGGATTTCCGTTTTTACCTTTGCATTTTTCCTTTTCCAGTATCCATAACCAATCATCGCTCTGCTCTTCCATTATGCTTCGTATATTGCAGAGTGAGAAGCATCTTCATTAAATAGTATTAAAAATAGAACACACCCGATCTCCCCACCGGAGCATGCTCTGACAGTGCTGATACCAGAGCTCTCAAGGTAACCATGCCCAGCTGGGAACTGAGAGGCAAAGTCAGTGCGAGATTAGCAATTTGCAAGCCCAATTGTGCACACAAACTTGCCTCCATCGGTGACGAAGACTGCTAAAACAAAATCAGCGTGCAGTTAAATTATGCGATTCAAAAAGTTGCAGATCAGTTTACAGTACGGTTTTGGTTTGGTTGGTTTTCTTTTTTTACCCCCTCCCCATCACCCTCAGCTTCGATTGCTTTGTACTTGCCTAAAATGTGCATATGCCATTTAGAAGAACGCGCACCGGGCATGCATCTGGCTCAGCATTACAATGGCAGAGAAGTCAAACAGGTGATGCACAGACACTTGTGTCGCTCTCTAATGCTTTTGTTTCCCCTCCCGGCACATTTACAGCGATGTCACACGGCGGCGGGATGAGTTTTAAGCAAAACCGCACACACCTGGAAGCGCAGAGACACACCTAGCACGTAAAAATGCACCCGGAATCTGAGCGTGTTCCCCCCCGCTGGCTGACGCGGCAAATGAAGGCAAAATAAATAACAGCAATTAAACAAGGCTGCGCAATGGCTGCGCGAGATGAGCACGTCGGGGTTAGATTTACAAGCGATATCGTTTGAGACGCACAGACAAGTAGGCAGAATACACCAAGCGGAGTAACATGAACTGCTTTTTGTGAAAACGGGACACCTAACAATACGGCTGTAACACCTGGACTGTGATCCTCCTCCACTGCATGCAAAAAGCGATGCTAAGGAAGCATCAAGTAAATCTGTTGCCCTCACATCGCCACCCTTAAGAACAATGCCACTACAATCAGCCCAGGCTTGCCCTCCAGCAAACACGGCTTTGAAAGCGGATCCGGCGATGCTGTTCACAAATCAGCGAGTAAAAGTTGAGATTTTCTTAAGAGTTTGATCCATTTTAGCAAAAATGACGGCAAGGAGGAGGGCGATCTCCCCCCGCAGACCCCCCCTCCCCACAAGGCGCTCGTCTCCCCTGCCGCAGCCCGGCTCCCGACCACCGGCCACCTCACCTCCGCGCCCGACCCCGACCCGCCTGCGCTCCCGCCGGCAGCGCCTCCGCCGATGACCGCCGGGCGGCCGAAACTTTGGGAAGCCGCCGCCCTCCGCGGGGCAGGCGGCCCCGCGACCGCGCCGAGCCCTCCTTCCGCCCTACCTGGCTGTCACCACCGCTACGCTGCCGCTCCGCAGTCCCGTGCGAGGCGCCGGCTCCAGCCCCGACAGCATCCTGCCCCGCCGCGCTGCGAGCGACACCCTTTTTTCCCTTTTCTTTTCCCTCCCCCTCTAGTAAATACCACATCTTAGAGCCGGAATCCTGCAGCCGCTATTAATAATTGCCCATCGCACGCAATAAAGGCAAGCCCCGGTTCCATACACAGCTCCTGTTTCCCCTTCTCTCCACTCCACATGCTCCAGCCGCCCTGACCTCAAAAATTAAAAGATCACGGGGAGGGGTGGGGGGGGAGGGGGTGGAGGGGGGATGGGGCGAATGACTCCAACGAAATGACAGAAAACACATGCTGGAAGAAAAAAAAATAGACAAGAAAAAAATCGCGACAACAAAGAACATCACGCCACACAAATGTCGACAGATTCTGCTTTGGCTTCCTTGGGTTTTGTTTTTGGTTTTGTTTTTTTCTTCGTTCCTTTTTGTTTTTCTTTTTTTTTTTTTTTACCTTGCCTGCAAACGGGATCTGCCCCCAGCGTCTTGGCGGCTCGGGCTATTTTTGTTTGTTTGGTATTTTTGGTTGGCCGGTTTGTTTATTTTGCTGCGGATACGCTGCTGTTACAGTACAGTGACTGTCTTCCTGAAAGACATGGTCTCTTCCTCCGCCTCCGCCGCGGGAGGAGATCCGCCGCCGCGCCGCGCTGCTGGCCGGGCGCGGTGGCCGCGGCGGCACCGCCCGACCCGCCGGCCGCCTCCTGTCCTGGCCCGGTCCGCCGCTCCGCCCGCTCTGCCCGTCCGCTCCCGGCGCCTGCCTGGATCCCCTTCTGGCTCGCTCCTCTCTCCCTGTCCTCCGTCCTTTATCTGCCGCGCTCCCGGGCTGTACTGTCTGTCTGCGAGTCTCTCCCTCTGCCTTTCTCTCTCTCCCCGCCCACGCAGCGTGGTGCGCCCCGGACCGCAGGCAGCGCCGCGCTCCGACTCCGCCGCTCGCCGGCTCCGCGCTCGCTGCGCTCAGCGCCGCTGCCCCGGCTGCCGCACAGCACCCGCTGGCCGCGGCGCCATTGCTGCTCGCCCTCACCCCACCCAGCCCCGCACACGGCCCGGAGATGCCCGCCCGGGCCGGTGTCTGTCTGTCTGTGTGTGGGGTGGCTCTGTCTGTCTGTCTGTCCGCCCGTGCGCCTGTGGCTTCCCGCACGTCGGCCCCTCCAGTCACATTGTTTCCCTCCCTCCCTCAAGCCCTCCCGTCAGCCCATCCTCAGCCAGGAGCAGAGAGACAAAGCACCCGAGCGGGGCTAATAAGAAGAAAGCTCGTTAATCCTCTCCGATTCCTTGTTATTTGCTCCCACCCACTCCCTGTCGCCCCCGACATACGACCCCCAAGAAGAATAAAGAGGGAAGGAAATGGGCCTTGACTCCAGAGAACATCTTTAAGTGAAAGGTCTAGGGAAGGTGGCTTTAATTATTATTTTTGCTGGTGAAACCTGACAGCCTTCAGGCTGATCAGTCGAGCTGCTAAAAGGGGTAAAAAAAATGAAAAAAAAAAAAAAAAAAGACTGCAGCACATTTTGGGTGGTAGCAGATGAGCCACTAAAAATGGGGCACATGATCCCCTTCCCCCTCCCCTGCCCAGCATGTCTCTAGGATCTGGCTTGATGATGTTTCCCTGCGAGCCTTGCTGCACACCATCAAGGCAGAGGGAAACAGGCAATTCACCAGCACACACGTTTCCAATGCATGAAACCGCTGCTGTGCATTTAAAACCTGGGCCTCGTTTTACCCAATTGAATACATCCAAGCATTCATTCTGCACCCAGCCGAGAAAAGGGCATTTACCTCTTTGCTAGGTGGCTATTAATATGCAGTAAAATTATAGCTGTACAACGCCAAATGTAATTGCCATAGATCATTTAGAGCAGATCCAGCAATTCAGCTGCTGGAAATGCATGTCTGTGAATAACCATGCATCTGGTACAATGCCCTCTACTACAATAACCTGAAAGGAGACAGAAGCGTCTGGTACTAGCTGCAATTAGTAATCCTATGGATGAAAAATAAACAGTCAATAAGTACAAAGCAGCAAGGTCCTATGAAATATAGAGATCATTTCTGTCTACGGTGATACAAATAACCCAACTCCCACAGACAGACAATTCTTATTTAAAACACACAGTTAAAAATGCACTCCTTTCATGATGTGCTTTCAGAAAGCCCTAGTTAGAGAAGACAGTTTGCCATGGTTAATGAACATAGCAGAACTTGTGTACCAGTAAATATGGACAAATACACAGAAGGCCGGGGGGTGTAGCAAGGGAATGTTTGCTTTAGTAGGTATTATCCTTGCACCCCTGGAACACCTCTTTCCCCTCGGAAGCAAACACCTGATTTTACTGGGGATTGCTGAATGGAATCAGACTGGAAGAATACCGTGAGTGATGAGCTACAACAGGGTGTGCATTAGCCAGCTCTTGGTGCACACTTCAAGTGATCAGAGGCATTCAGCCAGGCACACCAAAACCTGTTCTGCTAATGCACCTCCTGATGTGGTTTCCTTCTAGGATGGTCACATGTGGCTCCATCTACTTTTAATTTCATTCTTTAATATATTCCCTTTAACGCAGTGCTACAGGTTCCAGTTGAAAGCAAAAAGACCAGCAGAGAGGCTATAAATGGCATTCGTGTGCTACACCTGGTGATGGGGCAAGGACCAATTCTTTGCTTTTTGCCATTTGATGTTACAGCCATGTCAACAATGGACCAAGATGGTTAATTTTCAAAGATGGTTATCAAAATTATTCTGAACTTACAAGTGAAACGGAGGGCCTCACCTGGCTGCTGCCCATCATTTCATTACTCCCAAGCAGAGAAGGGAGAAAATGTACTCTGTGCCAGGACACAAAAGCAGTACTTACTCATGCCTTCCCTAAATGCCTTACAACTCACCTCCAGAAGGGAAGGGGACGAGAGGAGTGGAACGTTTCAGAACGTTGCTCCAGTCACTAGACACCATGAACATTTAAAACAGCCACGTGTCCACAGCTTGTCTCTCACCGTTGAGACACTAGAGTGTCTTCAGAGTGGGAAGAGCCAAAACCATACATCAGATCTGTAAGAAGATAAAAATTAATCCAAGCTGTAGTCTGGCAGTTCATTCCACCCTCTCCTACGAGGCTGAATGTGCCTGGAGCAAGTTACCAAATGCTAAAAGATGCCAGCTACAGCAACACCAGTGGAAATGATCAGGAAAAAAAACCCAGTATAACTCCAGTGTCACGTAATGTAGTTTTTCAACTCAGAATGTTGAGCAGCATCAAACACAGCATGTGACAATAAGTGAAATTGCCTTCCTTTGTTAAGAAGTCACCTCAGACTTTCTCAGTCAGATACTAATCTGACAGAATATGCAGGCTACATCCCTTTCTTCAGAATTTTGTAGAAAGAAAAATCACAATCATTGGACAATCATAATATTGAACAGGTGGCAAACCATAGCAATGACTTGCTGCTGCCTGTCCTGAGCTGTAAACAAGGACAGGCATAATTGTCCATTTAATCTTCACAAAAGTCAGAACTTTCACGAACACAGCAGAAGCTGTGTTTTTGAGCAGAAACAGAACTAGATCAACTCTTCAGACTTCTGACACCTTTTTCTGTCTGTTACATAAGCAAATTTTGAGGGTAATGGGGGAAAAAAAAAGGACACAAGACCTATTTCACCAAGTGCTTTCTTGAGCAAAACATCTAACCAATTAACCAGCTTTAATCTGGGCTTTCTAGGATTCTGGTATTGCCAAGTGGCCTTTTGAAATAGAATCAACATATAGAGGTGAAGCACACATGAACTGTATGTACACAAAATTCCTACAGACACCACCAAATGCCTCAGCTCAAGGTATTTCAAAAGCATGACAACTTGCTCACTGCAAGCATACTTTCTAGCTATGATGTCTCAATTTCACTTAGAAATCAAGAAAACCTTGCTGGGCTCTCAAAACCCAGTATCAGACTGGAAGTATGAGATGTCAGAAAAATATACAGAGCTTCTTGCAGTTCTGCAATCACAGATAGGAATCTGGAGAGAAGGCATGTAGTGTTACTAAATAAATTAATGAAATCTTGCACAAGTGGTTGCACATTTCTGCTGCTTCTAGTCACTTCTTAGTTAAGAAAAGCCCTCTAACATTTAAAGTCTGTTGTGTTAAGGAGTTATGGAATGATTCAGTTTGAGGCACAACAGTAAGATAAGCTAACTATTGATGTATTTTATCATAATCTTATGTGAAACAGATCAGTTTTAGGGGGTTTTATTTATTTTTAAACTTCTTTCCACTTTTATGTCCTACATGTTACAAACAAATTAGTCATGCATAATTTGCAGAGGGACTTAAAAATATAGCATGTCTGTTTAAAATGCCACTTTATAATATGTAAATATAGCCAAATTGCTTCAGTTTTAAGTACTTCTCAGGAAAAGCTGAAATATTTTTTCACCTACAACATCTCAAATAAAGGAAAATTACCCAAGCAATTTGTGTAAAGCGTATACTGGTATCTCAGACTTGACAAAAAAAAAAAAAAAAAAATGAAGCTTTATGCTCTTCCCAATGAACTCAGTAAGAATTTTGCAATGGATTTCATTAGGATTAAGATCAGGTACCTAAATCTCAGATTCTTTCTTTGGAGAAAGATCAATGAACAACCCTTTAAAAATATAATCTGTTACTAGAGGGGCTGAGGCAGCTTTTTTCTTC